CATTTATACATATAATTTGCATGGAAATTTCATTGTATTGCAGTTCAATAATTGATACTCTTTCTTTTACACTCTGAAAGGAATCATCACCTTTGCTTAGGCAGTCCTAGCATTATGTTGTTTGGTTAATTGTTTGTCATCTGTGTGCTGCTAGTTTTCATCCATTTGTTACAAAGTACATTTACTAATTAAATACTGAATATATAATTAGTACTTTTACTAATTAATTAAACATGTTTAACTGAATTTTCTTCAAATTGTGTATGTCAGTGCAGTTGGGGCAGAGATAAGATATATTTGCCTAACTTCAATCCTAAGATGGTGTGCATGTAATAATTTATTTTTGATTGGGCTGTTTTTGCACTGTCATCATACTGAGGTAGAATCAGATTCTTACTTGGCTCATTCAGATGCTCCAACTTTATGTGACCTAGATAGAAAATATATGGGGGTATGTGGTGTATTTTTAGCACATGTTCTCCTTTCAGCCTAAGGATAAACTATATGAACAACTTGAGGAAGTGAGAAGAAAATCTCTACTTCTGAAAACAATATGGGGTTGAAGAAATGGCAGGAAAACTATAAAAACTACTTACGGTAGAAAATGCAGTAATTAATATTCTAGTTTTTCTACATTCCTCCATTTAATTGCCATATTTCATTGGTTATTTAATAATGGATTCTGTTTAGAAAATGAATTTAAATTGCCCTCCAGTGACAAGTTAACTTGTTGACCAACCTGTTTATCATTTGTTGCTAGATCAGTTGAAACTAGTTTAGAAAATGCTCTAAACTAGCCCTGTTGACCTGATGCAATAATTGACTGGTGTGAAATTCTCAAACTTCTAGCAGTGTTTAATTTTTTTAAAGGTTCACCTTTAGTAGCTCTCTATGTCGCAATTATTTCCTGAAGTGCTCTTTTTATAATTCCGTATACTAGCTATTCAGCAAGTCAGGCAGTGAAATTGCATCCTTGCATTAATCAGCAGCTGAGATTTATGTCTGTACTTGCAACATCATACTAACATACGCTAAAGTAAACAGTGTGGTGTTTACATAGTAGTGTCACAGGTTTTAAAGCTATATTCTGTGCCGTAGTTTTAAATCATTACCTGAAATAACTTCTTGACATTTAAAATATATGTTCCAATATCATAGAGCTGGCATAATTTTAAATAAACTTTGTGAAAAAAATTGTTATTGTTCATCTATTGTTATAAATAATTTTTGTTGTGGAAAGTATGAAGCAGAGTGTATTCACTCCCATACAGTAGCAAGTTATTCAGACCTTCAAATGCTCATAATATACCTCCGTCAACTGTCAGCTTGTAGTGACTTAAAACAGAAGCCATAATAATAGAAACCATCACCTTTTCATAAAAGCACACACACATACATATATATATGGACACACACCCAAGGAGAGCGTACAGTTTAGCAATTCCTTTAACTGTAAAACAGAGCTCCCATATAACCCAGTCCACTCCTAGATACATATCTACGAGATATGAAAACATAGCCACACATAAACTTGTACATAGATGTTCTTAGCAGCATCATTCATAATAGTCAAAAAGTAGAAACAATTCAGATCAACTGATAGAAAAGTAAATTTATCGTCCATACAGTGTCTTCAGCCATAAAGACCTGTTATAACATGCAAACACTTTGAAGATATTAAGTGAAGGGAAAAACTAAACCCACTAGTTGGTCCCAACTCTTCGTGACCCTAGATAAGGTTTCGAAAATTGCCGTTCTTTGTAGAAACAGACAGCCGTATCTTTCTCCAGGGAGTGGCTAGTGGGTTTGAACTGCCGAGCTTGCCAATTAGAAAAGACCATGTATTGTATGATTCCATTTATATGAAATATCCCAAACAGATACATTAATAAAAATATTCCTAGAGAGAAAATAGATTAATGATTAGTTAAGGTTATGGGAGTGGGTCTGTTTTAATGAACATGTTCTACAATTAGATTTGGCGATGGTTGCACAGCTTTGAAAACAAACTAAAAACGATTGAATTGTAAGTAGGTTGATTATATAAGGTATGGGAATGGTTTTACCTCAATAACGGTGTGAAAGAAACAAGGCTAGAAAGAAGGAAAGGCTAAGATTGCTTTCAAACAAACCTCAAAACTTGCTGTCGGGTTGATTCTAACTCACAGTGACCCAGAGGACAGAGTACAACTGCCCCCTTTGGTTTCTGAGACTAAATCTTTACAGGAGTGGAAAGCTTCATCTTTCCCCCATGGAGCAACTGGTATTTTTGAACTGCTGGCCAGTGGTTAGCAGACCACACATATAACTGACTGCGGCAACAGGGCTTCTTATGATTGCTTTCAGGATTTCTTAAAGCAGTGGGAAAAAAGTATAATTTTACACAGGGAGGAGTATTACAACCAGCAGTTGTAATCTTTAAAATACAGTTTTCAACAGCTGGTTTTCAACAGCACTTGAGTTTCTCTTTCCCTAGGATAATGTAATTGCTTGTTCACTCCTTTTGACAAATGTTTGCTGAGAACTACTGGGTGTCAGGCACTGTTCTCCATGTCAGAAATTCAGTAGTGAAAAAGTTGGACTCATCTTCCTCCTGCTACCAAATCTGGCCCTCTTCTGGGTGTCCTCTTGTAGTAATACTAATACCATTCTAGTTTCCCAAGTCAGAAACTATGAATCATGTTTTATTCTTCTCCTTTTGTTTATCTTCAGTAACCAAGTCAGTTACCAAGTCACATCAGTTCTTTCTTATCCATTAAACTATTCCCATCTTCTCGTTCCCTCTCACGAGTGTGCAGATTCTATACTCCAATCCCGCACTTGCTTAGCTAGAGTGATTTTTAGTAAAGGATTGAACTTTGTAAATGGTTTACCTTTAAATATTAGGGAAATAATTCCTATAAAGATTCCTTTTAGTAATACCCCTTAACATGCCATCTAGGAAGCTGGTGCTCCTCAAAGAGAAATATAAGTGGGTGACTTTAAAGAATAGGAATTTATTTTCTCACATTTCTGAATGCTCAAAGTCTAAATTGGGCTCTTGGCTCTAATGATTCCTTCCTGGGCATGCCTTGATTTTTTCAGTCCCTTGCCTTGTAGAAGATCCATATCTGTTTTCTCCCATGTATGTCTGCCTCTATTTCATCTGCTTTTCTTATACCTCAGAAATTATGTTTAAAAATCTACCCTACTTGGATATGGCCTAATTAGCATAACAAGGAAGATTATTCTAAACAGAATTATATGTATAGGTGTAGGCTTTAGGATTCCAGCACATACTTTGAAGAGTGATGAGGACAGTTTATAACACATGCCAATCAGGGAACAACATGCTTTATATCATCTTTCATTTTAATACATATAATATTGTCAGTACATCTTATTTCCATTCAATCCTGGTCATTGTTAAGGAGTTTGTTTCTGTCATACATGCTGCCTTTTTTAAGTATTAAAAGATGACTATAGAATTTTCTGGCCCTATATCCAAGAGTTAGCCAGTTTCATTGATCATCAAAGTTGTTAAAAAATGCAACCATACACCATACATGGTGGGACACAACATTGTAATTGCACAGTTAACCAGGTTGGTTCACTGAAAGCCACTTTTTGATATAGGTACTCTCATCGTGGTCTCAATGGACTTTAGTTCTACCTAGAAATTCTTTCATATTTTTTGTTGGTATCCTGTAAGTTCTTTTTAATCTCTAAACCACTTTTTTTCCCACTCTCAATAAATGCCCTCTGTTCATAATGCTCACGAAAAATAGAAGAGAACGAAGAACTTACCCAACCTCTAGCTACGAAATCTAAAATTCAACTTATATCTGATTTCTCATTGTCTCCGATTCAAGTGTGTCATGTTAAGACTACTCTATCTCTGCGTGTACTTCACAGTATACTTTCTCAAAGAGAGCTGACCAGCTTTTCTTTTCAATGTCCTTCCTATAGCTTCTGTTCAAGCCACTGAAATTTGTCTTTGTTTATTCTGCTTCTCATAAAACTACACTCATTACCATTGGTTACATCCACTGGTCAGTCACTCCTTTCTTACTTTTGAGTTCTCAATTAGGACACAACACGACGACTCTGTACAGTACTTTCTGTCCTGCTCATCACTTTTTCCTGTAGACTCCTGTTCAATCCCCCTTCCTCCTTTGAATATTGGTGATCCTAATGTTCTCTCCTTTGTCCTTTGCACATTTTCTTCTGTACCTAAGAGGTGCTAGTTAAGATTTGTTGAATGAATGGTTTGTGCCTATATTGATTTCTTCATAGAGCTGACTATAATTTTACCTTTTCTGAAGAAATTATAGTATATCAAACCTGTAATTTATAAAATTGCTGTGGATTGAAATGATTATAATGATTCTCATAAATTACACACACACACGTACACATAACATAGGTGCAATGTAATGAATCCAAGCTCATGTTCAACTTTAATGTCTAAAGTTCATTTAACTCTGGGTAAGTTTTCTGTATATAAAAGAGAATTACAAAGACAATTTTAAAGAAAACATTAACCCCCCACCCAAATGTCTTTACATACTTGACTACTTACATAAGTTCCTATGGCATACCTGTCTAAAAAAAAAGGCCAAAACAAAAATTAGTGCTTTACTTGGAATAAAAACTTAAGTATTCCCGAAAAAGCATCTTGGAATTAGTGAAGAAGAATCTAATATTTAATGAAACTTTTGATGCCAGGCACTGGCTTGAGTGCTTGCCAACATTATATCTTAATCTTCAAACAACTCTGGGAATTATTCTTAGTCACCTTAGAGAGAAGAGCAAACAGGTGTAGGAGAATGAAATAAATTCTTCATCACAGCGTACACAACTAAAATTCAAAATCAGGGTTGATTCTGTCAGTCATTACAGGTCATAAGTCTCTTCTGTGGAATACTGACAATATATGTTGGGGATAGCGCTAAACAAGTGAGATAAAAAATTGCGTTTAGTAAATCACAAGTTAAAGTCACCTTTCATTTTGTCCCTAGGCTGTTATTTGGCAGAAAACCAGAGCATCAGATCACAAGATGGCTCTTATGTCAGTTCTGGGGACTTCCGTTATGGGCAATATGGAGTCTCTGCAGCACCGCTTTGAAGAGTCTCAGGTATGCAACAACCATTGTTCTTTAACACTTCTTTCTTTAATTCCTCCTTCTTCGATGAGGCTGTTAAGATTCATTGAAGCGAAGTGGTAAGGAATTTTTTCTGGCACCATTTTCATCAAATACAAGGACTCAATGCAGTGGGATAGGTTCTCTGTGAATTGGACTCGACTCGGTGACAGTGGGAATAAATGAATAAATTATATATATATATACACACACACACACACATACACACACACACACACACACACACACACACACACACAGATATATAGTAAAAACTGCAGTTGCTCCACAAGGTAGTTTCAAGATGACAGTGCCACGCAGAGATTCTCAGGTGTATAAATACAGAGCTACTGCTGGACGAAATACTTGGGTTAGGACAAGATAGTAACAGGTTTGGCCTAAACTGTTTCCGTGAATTAAGAATTTAAGTTGGGAGGTTCAAAGATGATCAGAAACCGTGCCAGTTAGCTTTGTGATAGGACTTCCCATGGCCTATGGGGGTAGCATCTGGAAATGAAAGCCTTCTCATTACTTTTGAAATTTTTCTATCTCCTATGATCTCCTTTTTGTCACCATCTAAACCTTCATTTTCAAATGCAAAACACCAGTTTTTTTCAACCAACTGCACTTACTAACTTATTTTGTTTATATCTTTACTGACTGCTTTCTTTACCACATTTCTTCCGTAACTTCATATTTTTCTTGCAGACAGATATCTTTTAGCAATTATTTCAGCAAGGTTGTGTATACAAACTATTAGTTTCCCTGTGTTTCCAGTTCCTATCTGTACCAGTGTACATCGTCTGATCTAGCCAGATTTGTAAGGTAGAATTGGGATCATGATAGTGGGGGAGGAAGCATTTAAGAACTAGAGGAACGTTGTATGTTTCATCGGTGCTATACTGTACCCTGACTGGCTCACTCCTCTCTGCCACCCTTCTATAAGGGGATGTCCAGTTGCCTACAGATGAGCTTTGGGCCCCACTCTGCACTCCTCCTCATTCACAATGATAAGATTTTTTTATTCTTTGATGCCTGATACCTGATCCCTTCGACACCTCTGATCACACAGGATGGTGTGCTTCTTCCATGTGGGCTTTGTTGCTCCCGAGCTAGATGGCCACTTGTTTACCTTCAAGCCTTTCAGACCCCATCTTTTGATATTTGGGCTCCATCAGATTTCTTCACCACATTTGCTTATGGACCCGCTTTGTCTGCAGGGGTCGTGTCAGGAAGTTGAGCTTCATGGAATGCCAGTTTAATAGAACAAAGTATTCTTGCATTGAGGGAGTACTTGAGTGGCGGCCCAATGCCCATCTGCTACTTTAATACTAAACCTTTAAATATATGCTCATAGATTTATGTTCCCATCCTCATAAATATATTTACATATATACATGCCTTTAGTTAGACCTCTATAAATGCCCTTTGCCTCCTAGTCCTTTCCTTTATTTCCTCTGAATCTTTTTTCTATGAACTTTTAAGATTTTATCTTTTTGCTTGATACTTTGGTAGTTTTAGTAAGTATATATATGTATATGTATATGTATATTTCAGCTTGATTTAAGCTTATTGTATACTTTTTGCCTCAGAATGCACATCTTTTTTAGACTTTAATACAAAAGCATTCCTTTTCAAGAATTGTTTTTCTTCTATTGCCTTTCTTCACTAATTTCTGGAACTTTTAAAGTTATATGATGCAACTTATCTCAAGTTATTCTTCTCTATGACATTTAAAAAAAATCATTTTATTGGGGGCTCATACAACTCTTATTACAATCCATACATACATCAATTGTATAAAGCACAATTGTACATTTGTTACCCTCATCATTCTCAAAATATTTGCTCTCCACGTAAGCCCTTGGCCTCAGCTCCTCATTTTTCCTCCTCCCTCCCCGCTCCCTCATGCACCCTTGATAATTTATAAATTATTGTTTTGTCATATCTTACACTATCTGACGTCTCCCTTCACCCACTTTTCTGATGTCCATCCCCCAGGGAAGACCTTTTATATAGTTCCCTGTAATTGGTTCCCCCTTTCTATCCCACGCTCCCTCCACGCTCCTGGTATCGCCACTCTTACCACTGGTCCTGAAGGTTTCATCTGTCCTGGATTCCCTGTGTTTCCAGTTCCTTTCTGTACCAGTGTACATCCTCTGGTCTAGCCATATTTGTAAGGTAGAATTGAGATCATGATAGTGGGGAGGATTTGGAAGCATTTAGGAACTGGAGGAAAGTTGTATGTTTCATCATTGCTACACTGTACCCTGGACTGGCTTGTCTCCTCTCCGCGACCCTTCCATAAGGGGATTTCCAGTTGCCTACAGATGGGCTTTGGGTCCCCACTTCGCACTCCCCCTCATTCACAATGAAATGATTTTTTGTTCTTTGATGCCTGATAACTAATCCCTTTGGCAACTCGTGATCACACAGGCTGCTGTGCTTCTTGCATGTGGGTTTGTTGCTTCCCAGCTACATGCTGCATGTTTATCTTCAAGTCTTTAAGACCCCAGACGCTATCTTTTGATAGCCGGGCTCCATCAGCTCTCTTCACCACATTTGCTTATGTACTCGCTTTGTCTTCAGCGATCATGTTGGGAAGGTGAGCATCATGGAATGCCTGTTTAATAGAACAAAGTATTCTTCCATTGAGGGAGTACTTGAGTGGAGGCCCAATGTCCATCTGCTACCTTAATACTAAACCTATAAATAAATCTATTTCCCATTCCTCATATATAAATATATTTACATATGTACATGCCTTTATTTAGACTTCTATAAATGCCCTTTGCCTCCTAGCTCTTTCCTCTATTTCCTTTGACTTTCCTCTTGTCCCATTATCATGCTCAACCTTCATTTGGGTTTTAGTAATTCGTCTTGGTTACATTACCCTTGATTACACCCTACCAGGCCTCCTACATCCTCCTCACCACCGATTTGGATCACTTGGGTGTTCCCTTGTCCTTGGGTTTGTTAACACCACTTCCTTTCCCCTCACTCCCCTCTCCCATGTCCTCCCGGAACTGTTGGTCCTGTTGTTTTCTCCTCCAGATTGCTCATTCAGCCTATCTTATTTAGACAGACCTGTGGAGATAATAACATGCACAACAAGACAGAGTTTTCTCTATGACATTTTTAATCCTTGAATTATTCTCTGCTAGGAATCCTGGTTGGACGTTGGTTAGATGCTCAACTGTTGACCAGAAATTCGTCTTTTCAGATCTACTACTTGCTCCAAGGCAGAAAGTGTAGCAGTCTACCTTTTCTTTAAAAATTTTTTTTAATTACTTATTGGGGGCTCGTAAAGGTCATCACCAGCCATACATCCATCGTGTCAAGCACTTCTGTACATTTATTTCCCTCATCATTCTCAAAACATTTGCTTTCTACTTGAGCCCTTGGTATCAGCTCCTAATTTTTTCCCCTCCTTCCCTGCTCACCCTCCCCCATGAACCCTTGATAATTTATAAATTATTATTATTTTGTCATATCTTACACCGTCCAATGTCTCCCTTTACCCACTCCTCCACGGTCTGTCCCCCAGGGAGGAGGATATATGTAGACCCTTGTAATCTGTTCCCCCTTTCTCCTTTACCTTCCCTCCACCCTCCCACTGGTACAGATAGGAACTGGAAACAGGAAATCCAAGACAGATGAACCCCTCAGGACCAGTGGTGAGAGGGGCAGTCTACCTTTTAAAATATTATTGATTTCAAAGCCCTTTTCCTATTGCTCTATCTATATTATCCTGAAAGAAAACTTTCACATTCTCTGCTATGTTAAATATTTAAATTTTAAAAGGTACCTTGAATGAGAGGTTATTGTGCTTGTTTTAACACTTTCTATTTCCCCTCTTCTGTAATAGTTTGGCAATTTCCTCCCAAACTTCAATTCAAAACCAACTATTACATTAGCAGTTCATGCCCCTCTCATGCTGTGTAGCATGTTACAAAGCCCCCTTTCCTTGGCTTGACCATAATCTTGGAGTTGTCTCTGCTCCTATGCCAATGACCCTGGCAAGCAGCCCCACACAGTGGTTACAGTATTTTCATTTCTCTTTGTTGATGGAGGTGGATAGGATCCTGTGTTTCAAATGGAAAGACTGATATGAATCCTCTGCCTTACGTGGGTGTTTTCTGTTCTCATTTTAGTACCATAATTTACTTAAAAACCGACCCTATGTTTCTAATCCCATAGCACTTAGGGATTTTGACTTCAAATACCTGTTATATGGTTAATATCTATAAAGATATTTTTCTTATTTGTATGTGATTACATTTTTGAAAATGCTCTTAAAATTGATTTTCAAACCTGTTATGTTACGTATTTGCAGTTGAGATGAGGGAAAGGAATTTCTGCATAAACATATTTCATTTTGCTGGCTAGAAATTCTTAGGTTTTTACTTTAGAAACATAACTCTGGTGTTATGGGGGTTTACTGAAAGAGAAGAAAGGAGTGCTAGAAGATTAGGTTACTTTCATAGTGTTAGTAAAGGAAGGATGGCTTTGGCAGACCAGGAAAATGGCAGTGTTGTCTGTCACATTAAGGGAATGTATAAAAACCTCATTGCTGTTGAGGTGATTCCAACTCATAGCAAACCTATAGAACAAAGTAGAACTGCCCCATTCAGTTTCCAAGGCTGAAAACTTGACACAAATAGATTGCCACATATTTCTCTAGCAGATTAGCTGGTGGAGTTGAACCATGACCTTTCATTTAGCAGCCAAGCACTACCATTGCAGCATTAAACTGCTGCAAGAAATATACAAGGAGGAGCCAATTGGATTCTAAGGCAAAAGTAGAATAAAATATCAAATTTTAAGTGTAGTGAACTTGAGAATTTTAGTGATTATGGTAAACATTTGGACATACAAATCCAAAAACAAGGAGAGGTAGTAGACCTTTTTCATAGTGTCACTGCTATTGTTGAAGTGAAAGATACAGATTACAGTGGGGAGAAAAGAGAATGCAAGACAAAACGGAGCTTGGTTATAGAACTCGGGGCGGAAGGGCGGTGGGCATCATCATGTATAGTTCTTAGTGTGCCTGACTACTAACAGAAAGGCCGAAGGGTGAATCTATCCATAGGGCCTTGGAAGAAAGGTCTGGCCAGCTCCTTCTGAATAGCCCTCATGGAATACATTTCTACTTTGACACACAGGGAATCACGAATAGTCAGAATCGACTCAATAGTAGTCAATAACAAGAAATGTGCTTTTTTTACTTTTTAATAAGCATTTTGTAAGATTTTTCTATATAACCCAAATAAAATTCTTATTATTCTAAGCTATTTACAAAGTTAGTATTTAGAAATGATAATAATCACTAGCCAATCAAGATGATGTAAAAAGAACACACAGAATTGGTTAATTCTTTATTTTATTCTTCATTCTTGTTCAGAGCTGATTTTTTTTTTTTTACCCACAAACCCAGTAAGTCTTTCAGAGACTTCCCAAGAGTCTTCCTGCTGCTCAGCAGGTGCTTCAAATGGGTCTCATGTTACCTGGTAAATTATACAACCGTTAATAAATGCTGTGAAGTTTTACAGTTAATTAAGAGGTATCATTTTGTAATGGATTAACTGGATTTATTCATTGTTACAAATTGACACCATTTGGCATGGTTACAGTAATGCACTTGGTGTTCTAAAATTGGAAATGTCTCTCCTTAAACACTGTTTACAAGGACAGGCATAACCATAGACATCAGTAACGACTATAGATTTTGTGGCTTCAGAATTCTGTGTTTCTCCTTAACTGAAAACAGTACCCTCATTGTTTGCTGTCCCTTCTTATTAGCTTACACTGAACTTCTGCTGCAAGTGTTTAACAATAACATTTAGCTCTGATTGTTTCAGATAAGATTATAAGCCTATATTTTAAACAACTTCACTGAGACCACTTAGTAAGGGAGCTGAGATTTAAACCAAGCCAGTCTGACATTTCATATCTCCTTAACAGATCTCTGTAATGTTTTTCTAGCTAGCAGTGAAAGGAGGAGCATTTTCCCTCCCTTCTAACCCCTCTGGATCTCTTCTCTCTGGGCTTTTTGTTCTAGGACCTCCCTTTCATTCTCTCTCCATACATCTGTAGATGTACAATACAGGAATGTAGAATGGGAACTATCAGTAAAAAATTGGAATGTAGAATGGAAACTATCAGTGTAAAAGATCCCTATCAAAAATTAAGATTAACTGCAACAGAATAATCAACGGTTACCCCTAAGGAGGTTAAAAGGTTTGGTTTATTTATTTATTTTATCCTGGAGATATAAAAATCCTGTCTCTGGATTTATAAGATATTCAAGAAAAAGGCAGAAACAGCCTCTTCTTTAAGGAAAAAGTTGTTAAAAAGACCAACAAGAATAAAGTAATAATTTGAGAAAGAAATTTTTTTAAATGCAGAAGACAGAGATTGATATCTTTACTGCCATGTGACAGGTAAATATTTGAAAGTATGATCATTTGCAAGATTTGAAGAATGATGATTTTTTTTCCTTAGAGTTCCTGCAAGAGAACATTAAAAGCAAAGCACTCATTTTAACATGCTTTGGAATGTTATTTGTGCTTCGGAATTTCTTTATGCTTAATACTTAAGCATATGGCTTATTACACCTTACGATGAAAACCCATTTGTTTGTTTTTGTGCATTTTAATGTATTGTATATAGCCACCCATGGAACTATATTTATTGGTGTCAGTGCGTATTAAATTAATTCTGTTGTATTATAATTATAGATTTATCTGAGTGGATTTTTTCCAAAGTGTGATGCAGACCACTCTCTCACAAGCCTTTCAACTTCAGAAAGGAGTTTCATCTTTATAAACAATCGACCAGTACATCAAAAAGACATATTAAAGGTAATCTCTTAAAGAAAATATCAACTAGAATCAGAAGTGAAAACCAGATCTGTCATTTTCAGAATGTTTGAAAAGCTATTTCCAAGAATCTGCCCTCAAATAGGGACAATGTTATGCCAGGTTGACTAGAGAAACAAATCCAGGTACACTCGTGTGTATGCGAAAAAGCTTTATATCGAAGAACAATTATATGTTGAGAAAACATCCCACCCTAGTCCAGATCAAGTCCTTAAGCCTGAGATCAGCCCATATGTCCTGATAGTAGTCTATAAATTCCTCTTTAGGCTCATGCAGCACATGCAATGATGCCGAATGCAAGTTGATCACAGGCTAGTGGGTGAAAAGTCTAGTGGATCCAATGGCAGTGGACACATCTCCAGGGTTCTAGCTGCCATCAGCGTGGCTTATCAGCAGGAAGACCAAAGCAGAGAGAGAGAGTGTGGCTCACCTCCAGGGGCTTTTCTCCAGGGAAAGTTCCCAGAATCCTCATGAGAAGGTCCCACTCACAAGAAAGCATCATCAGGCTGTGACTTGATTGACAGGCTAGACTTCGCCCCTACATTCTATTTATCAGGTTGACATGAAATTATGTAACTACCACAGAAAAGCAGAAAAAACAGGAGATAAAGTAACAAAAGCAGTGTGGTAGGAACTTTACATATGATTCTCATTTACTCTTCATTACTACTTTGTATTATTATTCCCACATATAGTGAGGAAACTAACATGTTAAGTGACTTCCTTAGGTTACCTAGCTAGGATGTTAGCAGAATTTGGATTTCAACCCTACCTTCAAAGCTTCTACAACACTATTTTCTTGTAACAATGGAGCCACTTGCCTTGGATATTTATACTAATAGTGATACGTCATATTCTTTCCAGGCTTTTAAAGGAGTTTCACTACTTACGATCTATTTTTCCTAAAACACATTTACCTCCGCTCAGTTTCTCAATTGAATCTGTGCCTTTTGGTGGTGTTTACATTTGGCAGTAGTATTTCTATTTACATGGTATTTTTGTCTTTATTAATTATGTATATTTCTAGTTAATCCGGCATTATTACAGTCTGAAGTGCCTAAAGGAATCTACTCGTTTGTATCCCATTTTCTTTCTAAAAATTGATGTGCCTTCAGTTGATGTGGATGTCAATTTAACACCAGATAAAAGTCAAGTATTACTACAGAATAAGGTAACCTTTTTTACAGACAATGTTTATATTAACTTATGCTATGTTTTTAAAATCATTCAATTGGGGGATCATACAACTTTTATCACAATCCATACATACATCAATTGTGTAAAGGACATTTGTACATTCGTTGCCCTCATCATTCTCAAAACATTTGCTCTCCACTTAAGCCTTTGGCATCAACTCCTCATTTTCCCCCTCTCTCTCCGCTCCCCTCTCCCTCATGAACCCTTAATAATTTATAAATTATTATCTTGTCATATCTTATACTGTCCGACGTCTCCCTTCACTCACTTTTCTGTTGTCCATCCCCCAGGGAGGAGGTTATATGTAGATCTTTGTAATTGGTTCCCCCTTTCACCTAACTTATGCTATTTTAAAACATTCCATTTTAACCATTTTCCTATGAAATAATTTGTATTTTTTCTAATTATTGTTTTAGAAATATGTTTAAATCTCACATTTATCATTTTCCTTACCATTTGTTAATTTGTATTTTTAGGGATCTGTTTTGATTGCTGTTGAAAATCTGATGACGGCTTGTTATGGACCACTACCTAGTACAAATTCTTGTGAAAATAATAAAACAGATGTTTCCTCAGCTGGTGTGATTGTTTCCAGAACAGCACAAACAGATGCGCCTTTTAATAAAACGGAATCATCTGGAAGTAATTATCCAAATGTTGATACTTCAGCCATTCCTTTCCAAAACAATGTACAGAATGCATCTGAAAAAACCCCTGCTAATTGTTTAAATCATCAGTTATGTGTTGATTATCATTGTGATGGCCATTTTAGCCCTGAAAATTCTAACACCGAGAAGGACACTAGTAATATGTTTCAAAAGATCCCAATAAATTGTATACCAAGTGAAGGTACCCAAAATGAATATCAAGAAGCTTGTTTTGTAGATTCTGTTAAGCACATCCAATTGGAAAATGGCAAGCAAGGCTATATAGAGGGTGAGACATATGAGAGCGCAGCCCCTGAGACATCTTTGGAAATTTGTGCAGATGACTGGAGCAAAGGCCATGTACTTAAAAATTCAATGGGAAAGAACATTGAACCTGTGAAAATTTTAGTTCCACAAGAAAGTTTAGCATGTACCACTAACACTGACCCTGAACCAAAGGATCTCTGTGAGCGGCCCTGTAACAAAACTTCAAATGTGGTCGATAACAAATCTGGACAACTAACAGCGTATGATTTAATCAGCAATCGAGTAATCAAAAAACCAATGTCAGCAAGTGCCCTTTTTGCTCAAGATCATCGCGCTCAGTTTCTCACAGAAAACTCTCCGGCCAGTTTAAAGGCTACACCACAAATTGAAGAACTGTGGGAGACATTGAGGAAAGAGGAAAAACTGAAGTAAGTTTCCAGAGTTTGCATGTGATCTGAATAATCAACTGTTTCCTTTCTATATGACTCACTACGTTTTTAATCACTTCTTAATTACGGAAAATGCTATTTGGCCTGGGTTAGGACCTTTTTGATATTCTTTTGTTGTTCTTTTTGAAGATTTTTTTGTTTCTCTTGTTTTTGGTAAAAATCCAAACTCTCTAATTTATAGTTCTCAATTAAGAACACCTTTTGCTTCTACTTCTTTTGCATTTTATGTTACAGAACTTTTCTAAGGCAGGACTTTTAAAAAAGTTTAAAGAAATATTTTGTCTATTTTGTTCCTTAAATTGACCCAGAAATCATGTAACATAATACTAAAATTGTAACACTGTTGCAGATTCAATTTCATGGAGTTAATATTGTCCTTATTCAATTTAAATCAGGAATTCTTTTCTAAAAATTGGTTATTGATTGGAAAATGTAAACTATATTGAGGTTTTGGTAGGTAAATATGTGACTTGGTCTATATCTGATTAAAATAACTATAATAAATTACATGTCATTTATGTCAGAAGATCTGAATATATGTGCCAAATAGAATATGATAGGTGTTTCTCATCAACTCAGGACACTTAATATAAACCCGAAATATGAGTGTTGTTTCTGGGTGGTGGTTGTGTTTTTGGTTTTTCCTTTTTCTAACATACACAGTATAATAAAGTAGAAAAACAATACAATGAGCCCATCATCCATTTTCACCAGCCACCATCTCATGATCACTCTTGCTTTATTCATACTGTAACTTGTGTTTTCTCTCATTCTGAAGCAAATCCTAGGCATAATCACACTTATAAATATTTTAATATATATCTTTAAAAGATATTCATATTTTAAGCATAACCATAATACCACTGTCTTAACTTTTAAAATTACACTAAATCCTTAATATCACCAAATATCTAACAATTTTATAAATGCTATCTTTGTTTATTCAGGAGCCCTGGTGGCATAGTGGTTATGCATTGGGCTGCTAACTACAAAGTCAACTGTTGAAAACCATTAGCTTCCCTGCAGGAGAGAGATGAGCCTTTCTACTTCTGTAAAGAGTTAATAGCCTCAGAAACTCACAGTTCTGCCCTGTTCTATAAGGTCATTATGAGTCAGATTCAACTTGATGGTGTGGTTTTGGTTTGGTTTATCTAAATCAGGAAAAAAAATAGATCCACTTATTCTTTTGATTGCTGTGTCTCTTAAGTCTCTTTTCATCTTTTTTTTTTTTTTTACCATTTTTGTTTCTCTGCAATTTGTTTACAGAATAAACCAAGTATCTTTTCCTGTGAAATGTCCATATTGTGGATTTTGCTTATATCCAGTGCTGTTTAACATGCTGTTTTTATTTCACCACAAGGCATATCTTGTCTATGTGTCTTTAACCAATGATCAGTGACTAGAGCCATTAATTCAATTAGTGTTGCAAGAGGTGTATAATTTTATCATTCTTGTTATTTATTTTCTGAAACAGAATCTTCCCTAATAGCTAAGATTTAGTTATCTGGTGGTAAGGTTACTTTAGAAAAGGTAGGTTAAATGCTTGATTTTTTCTTTTGTTCCTTTGAATTCTTTGACTTGGCTTACCTTGGTGCCTTCCAAAGTGAATGATTAGGATTTTAGGTTATTCGTTTTTTAGTATTATTATTACTTTATGGGTTGAAATGTATTTTGCTTGTTTCAGTCTCTTTCAGTTACTATATCTAGTGATGTCTGTCCCATCTTTGGCCAGCAGGGGCCTTTTTAAGTTGGTTTCGGAATCCTTCTATAAAACCTTAGCAGCTTTTGATAGCTTCCTTGTTGCCTGATAAAAAAGTTGCACCTGACTCATCTTGTGCAATTTTTACACTATGTCAAGATCGTTTCTAAAAAAAAAATTATGTTTCCTATAATGCAGTGGTTCTCAACTTTCCTAATGCCATGACACTTTCATACAGTTCCTCATGTTGTGGTGTCCCTCAAACCATAAAATAATTTTCATTGCTACTTCATAACTATAATTTTGCAACTGTTATGAATCGGGTGACTTCAGTGAAAGGGTTGTTCGACCCCCGCCAAAGGGGTCACGAAACACAGGTTGAGAACCGCTGCTATAATGGGAAGTATTCTTTGGGGAGCCCAGTCTGAGAGCTAAGGAGTATTTATTTCCACTAATGTGGTCATTTCATTGCTTCTTATCCTTTTCACTTGCTAGAACTAGACATTTTAAAATATAGTTCATATTGATAATTCCAATTCATATTCAGTACTGTAGAGCTTGTGCACAATCCTGTCTAGTCTCACATTTATAGCGCCTTAATCCTATGCTAAGACTCCAAATTTTCAGTCTTACCAGGTATAGCTATTAGAAAAATTATACAACTCATTTTTAAAATCCATAATACACGTATAAGGCCTTATAGTAACAATAACAACACTACCACCACCAGAAATGAGCTATAGAGCAGAATTGTAAGGCTGCATTAACTGAATGCAGAACACCATTAAGTGAATGCTGTGCTCCCTGCTGTCAAGTCAGTGTCAACTCACAGTGACAATTTAGGAAAGGTAGAACTGCCCCTGTGAATTCCCAAAACTATTTATGTGGGAGCAGAGAGACCCATCTTTGTTCCTCAAAGTGGCTGATGGTTTTAAATTGCTGAACTGTATCACTTATATGCCATCAGGTCTTAGAGCTAGTGAAATTGGAGAAGGGGAGAAATTCAGAAATTTGGTTGTCTCCTCAAAGAATCCTGGAAATGTAAACATCAGTACCATAAAATTTTGAATTTTGATGTAGTGGGACACGCCAGAAGATAAATTGGGGCCCTTAGCTGTGCTAAAAAGCAGACAAATAAACCCGTTGCCATAGAGTTGTTCAAGTGACCTATGAGATATGGTGATAAAACTTTCTCTATTTGTAAATACAGAATCCTGGTGGGTTATGAGTTAGGTTGCTAACCAGGGGATCAGCAGTTTGAAACTACCAACCACTCTGCTGGAAAAAAAGATGAGACTTTCTGCTTCTGTAAAGCTTTACGGCCTCAGAAACCCACAGGGCACTTGCAATCCATCCTATTGGATCTCTGTGAATTGGAATCCATTCATTGCAAGGGATCCACATGTAAATGGTGTAGCTTAGAAGATAGACAATTGAACAAGTAAGTCATCGTTGTGATGAGTGTTAGGAGGAAGGAAATACATAGAATTATGAAAACATAGCTATTGGACATCATCTTATTTGTTGGACAAAAAATGTTTCTCTGAATAGGAATTAACCAGAAAGGTGGAAGAAACTTTCCAGGTAGAGCAAACTGCATGTGAGAAGACCCAGAAGCTAGGAGGAGCATGTGTAAGAGTGTGTGGTAAAAGAGATGGAAAATACATGGACCATGGAGGATCAGGGAAGTACTTCATAGACTTAGAATAAGGAGGAGGATCAGAATTGTTCAGGTGTTACAACTGTGCCAAGAACTTAAGATAGACTTAGGAAGGAATAAAGGATATATTCATTTTTTAATTCATGTTTTTTCTTTTTAGTTTGTGTTCTTTATTTCTCTTTCCTCTCCTTTTCATTAGTGGATGTGACCCCAAATTTAGATTGCGTGCCCTGGATTATCCCTCTCACTCATGTCTGACTCAATTGATGGTAATTGAGCTTTTTTTTTTTTCAGTTGCTATAAACATATTCCTGCTTCAAACCATTTAAAATAATATTGCAATTGGGGAATTACCAATATGGTAGAAGTATTGGTAAACTGGATGATTACATGAAATTTGTAGTCACAAGAACATCATTTGAAGTAACTACTGGTCATAAAAATATTGTTCAGGCTTAGTATTTTCCATCTAGTAACTAAATCTTTTAATGGCATTAAGTACAAAGGTACCAGCTGTTTTTACTTAACTTTTATTTAGTATTATTTTGGACCTGTTGTATTTCCCAAGGAGCTAATTAAATTGACTTCTTGAGTAAATGAAAGATTAGTACCATATGTGAAAATTGTGCACATTATAATTAATTACAAATGGTGACCTTTGTCTTCAACTTATTTTCCACCTAACAGGGAAAATCCTGAACTTGAATGTGCAAGAACTAAAAATGTTTCAAGTGCTTGTTGAAATTATCAAAAACCATATGTAGTATATAGCTAATCCAGAACTTTAGATACTAAGTAGAAATGAGAAAAAAAATTTTTTTTAATTGCAAGTAAATGTGGCATAGTAACTAAAAAAGGCCATTTTTATAAAGTTCGCAATGTAAGATCTTTTATACTTTATCACTCAGCTAACATTCATTTAAAAACATTTTGAATATAGACTTCATGTATACTGTGGTCTCTTACCTCTTAAACTCATTTTCTACATTTAATATAATTTCCCTCTATTTACTTTTTATATCCTAACATCTCTTTCAGTTTCTCTGAATAAATGTTCAAATTAAAATGTTATATGTATGTAACAATAAAGTTAGGGGTTGTAAATAACATTAATTCTACTACTCTCAAATTTAAAACTTCTTTTTTTTAAGCTTTAGCAAATTTTTAAAAAATCATTTTATTAGGGGCTCATACAATTATCACAATCCATACATACATCAGTTGTGTAAAGCACATTTGTACATTCATTGCCCTCATCATTCTCAAAACATTTCCTCTCCACTTAAGCCCCCGGCATTAGGTCCTCATTTTTCCC